CCCTGGGGCGCACTGACAGAGGCGAGGCTGCCGGACACTGGCGCCACCGGGCCCTCTGACCACCACCAGTAGGCAACGGGTGAAGTGTCTTGCCCAAGGACACAACGACCGAGACTGTCCAAGCCGGGGCTCGAACCGGCAACCTTCCGATTACAAGACGAACTACTCTTGAGCCACGATCGCCCCAAAAGTCCAGCAGTGAGATTGTGACTGAGTATGTGATACGATCAGAGACAGCTATCACAGCCCTGAGAAATGCTGGAGAAACATTGAGTGATTGGTAACAATGGTTTTAAAGGGACTGCCTGAATCATTCAAACCTTTTGCTATCCAAGTGAAGTTGAATTGAAAACTAAACTGCGAAGCTACCGAGACACAGAGAAAATGCACGCTGCAGCATCAGATGAAACCCATGTTTGAACATTCGAATGACCGGGGAGCCGGCAACAGAGACATGGTGTGTTTCAGATGCAAACTAAAGGGACACAAAGCCAGGATGTGTCAGTGCAAGCAGTGGTGTAAATAGTGTAAAACCACTTACTGGGACTCAACCTGCAGACGGAGACAGCAACAGAACAATGCACAAAAAGTTTCCGAGGAGTTGGGCAGCAAAGGCTACGCATTCTGGATAAGCAGCAAGGATACAGAGTTCCAGTCAGAACGTGGCATCAACAAAAAGGGTCTGATGGTGGACAAAGGGGCAACTTCGCATATTATTACAGATATAACGAAGTTCGGAAAATTTGACGACAGTTTCCAGACCAAGACACACTACGTAGAGTTGGCTGACGGCACTAAGTGCACCGGAGTTGCAGAGCAAAGAGGGGAGGCAGAGTTTTGTTTAATAGACAGCAGGGGGCAGTGCCACAAATGACAAGAACAGTCCAGCTTATATGGGCTACTACCTAGAAAAGTACAGAAGCAGACTGGTGAAGTTTGAGACCAAAACAAGAGTAGAGACAAATACAAACTGGCATGATGATAGATGGGTGTACACAGTCAAAAACAATGTTGATGGTTCTGAGAAGTACAAGGCACGTTATGTTGCTAAAGGATACAGTCAGAAGATAAGTGTGGATTATGAAGAAAGATTTTCCCCTTCTGCTAACCTGACTACTATCAGAGTGTTGATGCACAAGAAAACATGCTTTTACATCAGGTGGATGTTAAAGCTGCCTATCTACACGCATGGAACATGGAGGTATTCATGGAACAACCTGAGGGCTATGAGGTGAAACCTGACACAAATGAAAAATGGGTGTATAAGTTGAAAAAGTCGCCATATGGTTACAGAGCTATGGGCTAAAACAAGGTGTTGCATGAATATCTGAGTGAGAACAACTTTGTGCAAAATCCCACTGACCATTGTGGGATTTTGATAATATGGGTAGATGACCTGATCATCACTACTAGTGATGAAAGTGAACTAACTGTTGTGCAGCAAAATTCAAAACAAAGGATTTGGGTAAACTGAGACATTTCATTGGAATAGATTTTGACCAGAGCGATAACTGTGTAAAAATGTCACAGAAACAGTATGTGGAATAAATACTTGAAAGGTTCAACATGCAGGAAGACTGACACCTTGTGAGAAAACACTGAACTACACTGATGGTGCAGAAAAGATGAGTGAGGAATTTCCCGGAGGAACCCACCCAGGGGATTAATAAAGTTTCATCTAATCTAATCTAATCTAATCTAATCTAATCTAATCTAAAGGTACAGAGAGGCAGGTGGTAGTCTGATCTATTTGGCTACATGCACAAGACCAGACTTGAGTTTTATAGTCAGTAAACTGTCACAGTATTTCACTGAGCCAACTGAAGACCAATGCACCACAGTAACACATGTACTGAGATATCTGAAGAGAACATCCGAGAAAGAACTGTGTTACAGAAAACGTGACAATGAAGAACTGAGGTTGTGGGCATACAGTGATGATTGGGCAGCTGATGTAACAGACAGATGTAGTACGACTGGTTATTGTATAAGTCTGGCTCTAAATGGTCCTTTGATTTCATGGAAAACCAAAAGTCAACCTACTGTTGCATCATCTACCTGTGAAGCTGAGTGCATGGCTGTAGCTGCAACCCTACCTACAGGAGTGTTTGTACCTAATGTAACTGTTACGAGGTATCGATGGACAAGAATATGCACCGCCAAAGGTTTATGAAGATTGGCTAAGAATCCTGTAACGAGACAGAGATGTAAACATGTTAACATAGAGTACCACTTTGTAAGGTCAACTGCGAGTGAAGGAAAAGTAACTCTGGATTGTAACTCTTATTGTTCAACAGAAGAGATGGAAGCAGATGTAATGACAAAACCTGCAACAAAAGTTAAGTTGTTCAAGTTTGAAAAGTTTATGTTTGGACATTAACCAGGTACAGACATATATACAGCACCGGCTGAGAAACCCTATATGTGTTTTTGTTACTTAAGAGAGTCATAATATGAGAGCAAGTGGGGGTGTTGACATGAAGAAAGAAAATGCTCTCAATTATGGAAACAGCCAGAGGGTTTATTTATGTGATTTACATGTGTGTGGCTGTTAATAAAGTTGGCGTTCTCTCGGGGGCGTGAGCGTTCATCCAAAATGGCAGAAGGCTGATGTGTTTGTTCCTCCCTAATTATCGTCGGTGCAGTTTACCATGTACATCAGATTTTCCTGCGCACCTTCATACTTCTGCTAACAGGTATGTTTTGCCCCTTTGTTCACGTGCTTTAACTTCACTATAAGTGTATTGGAAATGTGGCACATGGTGGGAATTCTGTTCTTTAAAAATAAATGTCCCTGCAGCACAAGTGTGTATACACTTCAACACAATAAGAACAGTAACAGTATATATTTGTGTGTGTGCTGAATATGGGAGAAAGATTCAAGACATAACCACAGTGCTTAGAGGCTAGTGGAGCTAAGAGCAGACCGCAGGAACCTCCCTGAACAGGATCCAGTAACCATCACAGATATCCAGGAAACAGTCTCCAGCATGAAGACTTGTCCTGATCCCCAAGGACACATCTGCACTTCTGCCATCTTTGATCATTAACTTGGAGTTTGGGGTCATTCTCACTGGAAATTTGAACGTCTAACTTAATTTGGAACCTGCCTTTGACCATATAGCAGCTAGGATAGCCTTCCTAAAGCCAGCAATGTAACACAGCCCATGTCTGAATGGACTTGCAACTAGATCAGCTATGCAGAAATAATATTGGTCTCTGTTACTTTGATGTGCTTGACAAATAATTTATAAAAGGATCCAATCAGATTAAGTAACCTAGACACCACAGGATCCAATCAGAGTGCAAAAAGTAGTTTGCACTAATGACCCATTATATTTGTGGCTCCTCTAAGTTACAGGTTCCTGAGCTCAGCTCGTAAACAGGCTTTAGGTGATAGAAGTATTTCTTAATGGAACGCAATGATTATTCTAGGAATACCTGTCTGTAAATGCTAGTTGCCGCCTTTAAATGACTTATTACTATTGATGCATCCATGTAATTTGTTATTAAAGTGCAAGTGTCGATTAGCTGTGTAAAGTAACACTGAAAAGGAAGCGGTTCTGCCAGCCTCTCACTTTCGACCACTAAGAAGCTAAATGAGTCACTAACTTTCACATAACAATAGGCTCATTCTGCCTTACAGATGTTTTTATTTTTGGCAAATTATTATGTGCGAAGTATGTAAGTCTGTTCCTCTGTAATGCTTTCTGTGTTTGTCACATTAAAAAATAGTTTTCTTGAAGTTGAACGTTATTATTCAGGACAGTGCATGTGTTGGGCACTGATTATTGCGTCACTACAAGAATGTATTAAGAGGATAATCGAAGTAAGTTATGGTAAATGGACTGATTCTTATATGGTATAGATTCTTTTCTACTCTCAAAGCGCTCTATACAACATGCCTCATTCACCCCCAGTCTCACAAGCACCTCTAAACACAAGTGCAAACTAATCAACATTCACACTGCGATGAATGCTCCCCAAGTTAGAATATAATATGGAGTTTGTGGTTTGGAGTGCTGGGTCATTAAATGGCCATTGCATTTTCCAATTCTCCATATTTTTGTCAGTTCGAAACACACCAGCATCTAGTTTGTGGTTATTTGACTTCTGCTGGCACACTCAATATCTTTTTTTGTTGAGGCCACCTGACACAACAGTGGTCTGTGCAGGTCTGTGGTCTGTGGCCTGTTAATGTCACTTGAACAGTGTTACAGAGTCTTGGACTCTTGGGACTTGAGCTAAGGCAATATTTCACAAACCCACAGTTACTGTGTTACTAATATTGAAACTGCTTCTGTGTATCACATCTGTGCTATGGAAGGAGAGGAAACTGACCTTTTTCTAAATTGGGGAAGGACAAATTTAAATTTGCAAAGATCTTAAGATCTGCAAAGGCAAAGTCTGTTAGTTTTTGGAGCATTTTAGTCAAAGAATCAATGGGCATGGGAAATTAGTTATTAGCACAATAAAAGCATTGCTGTATGGATTACAGTGTGAGTGATTGTGTGATGGCGTCAGCCACACATAGATAAAACAAGTCCATTCATTCACTTTATTAGTTTGATTTGCAGTTGCTTCACTAATATAATTCATTAATGTTTTTACTTAAACCTGACACTAATTTAATGAAGCGTGCACATAATGGCATTGTGTGGTTTTTCTAAAGATGTTTTTTGATATATTAATTATGTTTTTCTTTCTTTGAGTTACCTGGTTTGGGGCGGTGGCTGTTTCCTGTCTGGGCAAAAGGCGTGGCCGAGGGCTGAGGACTTTGAATGCCGACCACTATAAAATCTACCCTCCTGTGTCTTTGCGATTAGGCCAGTTTGTGAGTTAAATTGTGTCAACTTTGTTTCAGTTTCTGGAAGTTGTGTTTTGATTAGAGTTATATTTAGTTGACCTCTTTTATGGGCCCACTAATTATATTTTTGAATTTGTCTCTTTGAACTTTTTTGAGGGTTAAAATAAAGAAAACCCATTTTAAAGACATTATTTCTGTGTCTTCTATAATATAAAACTTGCACAACCAAGATATGGAGTTGTTTTTTATTATAAGACAGTTACTTTAATACACAGAGAACACAGTGACTTCAGAGCCAACATTTAGTTTCACACCATGGTCTTTCCTTTACCTTAACCTAGGTGCTTTTATTGTCTAACCACAGGCTGGAGTCTGGATGTGAAACTTGGAGTGTGGTGTGGCAACACATGACATGGTTTTCTTGCTGGCAGTTTGGCATGTGACAACAGGAAACGCACAGGTGATACTGAAAATGTTAGAATACATGAGATCATTCCAGAATCCCTTATAATACAGACTGTCATGGTTTGGTGGGATGCAATCATGAATGTCTGCTGTATGGTTTGTAAGTTTATTAACAATCCCACCCACTCGCTGGTCCCCAGTGCAGTTCATAAATATGGTGATTACTACCACCACCATTTAGTAATATATATAGAAAAGGAAAAAATACAGAAAATAGTTTTGTGTATAAGATAGTTGTGAAATAATAGATAAAAGATGGGTACTGTGTGATATCTGTTAATATTTTGGGTACGTAGAGAGATCTTCACCGTAAACCAGCTAACTATATAACATCTGTGTTGTTTCTAAATGGGAATTTCAAACATAGTCTTCCGCCAACACTGGATCTTGAGACTCAGATACCAGTCATATCCATGTCATATCCACATGTTAGAAATTTCCAGTCATTTCTGAATCACTTCTGTTCTGAATGTCTACCTGCCCCTTCCTGAAAGACTGGAAGGTATCTCGAAAGTTTTGCGAACCGAAGTAGTACAACAGTGGATCCAGGCAGCTGTTTACTCCCGCAAAAATCCAGGTTGCGTAATATGCTGTCTCAAACTGAAGGAGAAGATGGCATTGTTGCGGGTAGTATTTTTTTAATATGACTCCTACAGTCCGTACCACATTCAGAGGCAGGAAGCACAAAGCGAATATAACCAGACACACCCCTATCATCCTCTGAGATTTCACCTTCACTTTCAGACCTTTAGCTGTGCTAATGTTTAAGCGAGTTAAGGTGTTTGCTAGACGGCTATAGCATGCAGCAGACACAAAGAAAGGGAGTAAAAACCCGAAGATAAACAGGATAAAGTTAATGACAAAGTAGGATTCTGTCAGTTTGGTCTGATGAATGGAGAGACATTGTTTGTTTTTCCCTTCTGTGGTGGTAGGAAGAGTAAAAGCAAAGATCAGAGCCTGGATCAGTAGCAGAGACCAAACTCCAGCGCAGAGCTTCCTGACAAACTCCTTCCGTTTTATACAAGAGCTCCTGTTGAAGTGAACAACAGCCACATACCGATGAATGCTGATGAGAGTGAGGAAAATGGTGCTGCCATAGAAATGTGAACTCAGCAGGGCAATCTTGAGTTGACACAGGAACTGACCGAATGGCCAGTTGTTACCCATAGCAAAGTAAACTGCCATCATGGGAGTGACTGGTGTGGCGATGGCATCGCTGAGGGCCAGGTGGAACTGCAGCGTGGTTCCAGACGTCCAGCAGGGCAACCGGCAGCAGAACACCCACAGGCTGAAGGTGTTCAGGAGGAAGCCAATAAAGAAGACCAGGCAGAGCAGGATGGTGATGGACACATGCTGACTCTCTGCCAGGCAAAGGTCAGAAGCATTGCTGTTATTCCCAAGCTGAGAGAGAACTTCACCAGGCATCTTTGAGTTCCTTACACCTGTGAGAAAACAAAGCAATCATCACAACACAGTCTTGTGGCAAAAGCTGTAGTTTGACCGCTTGAGGCTGGCTCCAAAGAGAGTAATGGGTAGTTATGCTCACTGCGTTGCCTGTGTCGTGGGTGTCACACCATGTGTATCTTTTTGTAACCTGTTCAGCTGTGGCGACCAAGGCAAGACGCAAGTGTATGGTTGTGTCGGTTTAATGTTCCCGCACAGAGGCGCACAGACATACAGACATACAGACATACAGAGGGAGACGTTGGAACAGTTTGAAAATTCTGGACCTTGTGAAAAACAAACACATGACAAATTCTTGGCTTCTGGTTTTGACTTCTTCCTCTTTTACATCAGCGTTTGTGTGACAATATTGTCTGAGTGTCGACACCTGTTGTTCAGGATAATACTGCAGCGGCTCCTGTACCTCACCTTACCTGTGACACAAGGTTGCAGCAGTGAATATAAATGGGCCCTTTGTACTCGCTGTTCTTGCCCCAAAATGACACACATACTGGTGCAAGTCACATTTTGGTATGGTTTTGGCCAGTTGTGCACATCTCAGTTTTTGTAACCTTGTGTGTTTGCTTGGGGTTTATTGGGGCTTACATAACCACCACACTTCACTAGGTGATTTTTGTTTGCTTGTTTTTTTAAAAGCTTATTAGTTGAGATTTTGTTGAGGATTTGGCTGATTTGATTTGAATGTAAATGAACCGGTGCCTCTTTTCTACTCTAACCCAGCACTCAGAGCACTTTACACAACTTGCCTCATTCACCCTTTCACGCAAGCAACCCTAACCCTCCTTGGGATTGATCAAGAGATTGCTGAAAATAAATGAGGCCTTAAATTACACGGGGTAACATTTTACTGGCAATTTTTACCATCTGTTTAATAGAGTTGAGATAAACTGGGTAATCAAATGCCATTGAAGTGTTGTGTGCTGTTAGGAATCCTTAACTGACCAATCAGCATGCAAATATATTAGTATTATTGTCCTGCTTCTGGATTATTATTTTAACCATTTAATGCCATCTGCTCCTGTTTATTGAGGACTGTGAGTGACAGTCACTTCAGGCTCCCAAAGCCTTTGTTTGAACTCTGAATTGGCAGTATGTTTAGCCAATTCCTCCCAAAAAGAGAAAGCTCATGGAGAGAAATCCTTTCATTTTGTTGATGCTGTTCTGCAACTGAGAAGTGTGTGTTTGTTTTTCCTTTATAAACACACCTACACATCCGTGTCCATCATACTGCTTCCCCAAAACAAGACTTCCTGACATTTTACTGTGGTAAAACTGCACAGCAGCATGGTTCACCTTGAAACCATTCAAACAATCCACTTCAGTAAAGTAAGAGTAAAGTACTCAACAGATTCAGTTTCAGTGCCTCATGTTAATCTCACTTTATTCATTCTTTTTTCCTTTGATCTGTTTATTCTTACTGAATCTTTTCTATATTATTGCCCTTGCACTCTTTTTCATTATTTATTATAATGCTGAATGAATAATGAACAACTTTTAAGAAATCCGGCCACATTCTCTTCAATCTGCTTCAATCTCAGCACAGTTTGAGATTGAAGCAGTTTCCCTTGTTGCCCATGCTGATATGACTTCAGGCTCAGCTTTGAAACTGCCTGTCTGAGTACAACAGTCTGCGTTTTTTCTTATTTGTTATTCACAAATAAATAAATGTCTCCTGTATGAATCAGGCTTAAATAGGCTTATTAACTGCTTGGTACTTTCTTACTGTCAGCCTTTCTATGATCCTGTCTGAACATTTTGAATTGCACTATCCTACGTGCTGTAGTAATGAGTGAAGAGCTGCATGGATTCCAGATTCTGGTGACTCAGACATCATCCCAGCGTGATGTGGCAGCTTTCCTAACAGCGTCAGTGTTCAGTGGAGCTAAGGTCAGGTGACATGCAGTTATGTTTGCTGTTGGTCTTCTTCTGTCTTCAGACTTTAACCTCCCTGGTAGAGGTAATGTAAAAATCATGTCTGTTAGTAGAATTCATGATGCCTGTGATTTCAGAGATTTTAGAGATCTGGATCCAAGAATTTTTGGAAGAATTCTATTAACCTATATGCAGTTTTGAATCTTGAGCTGCTGCTTCTTCTTGTAAAATGTTTGGATGTCTGCATGAGCCGTTTGTCCTGCTTTATCTTTCTGAACAGTGTTTTGAAGACTTTCCTCTAAGAACACCACCTGTTGATAGGACCTGTGCTTTTTTGTGGAATCAAATCCTGTATCTGTATCTTTTCTATCTCTCACTGAACTGATCTTCCAATAGTGAGCTCACCTTTGGTCTGCCTGTTCCTGCATTTGATGCAACTGATTCAGTTTCCACAAAGAGGTTTACAGCTTCACGTGCTTAACTCTTACCAACCTTGTGTCTAAGATCAAACTAACAGCTCTTCTGACACTTTTAGATGCCATACTGTCCACGATAACTGTTCACATTTAGGAGTGTTTTTTGGAACAATGAGTTGATAAAATCAGTTTCATCTCCTTAACTCAAGGAAATTTGACCTTTGGTTCGGAGGGGCACTAAAGTACATCTTCTTGCTCATTAGTCCACTGTCTGAAATATTAATGTTCTTTTACTTTTACAGTTAGAACTGTACTTGTGTAATTTCTCACAGTTTCTTATTATTTCTAAGCTTACATGAAAATGTGAAAGATTTCATTGGCTACAATCATACATATGTGACGCATATATATGAATGAACCACATGCTTTAAAGCAAAAGCAAAGTAAAATATGTAAGTCTTGTACTTTCTTGTAATTGCAATTGTTTTAAAGATCTTACCAGAGCTGAAGTTATCCTCAGTAATTTGTATCCAGTAACACAATGACTGCCTCTCTTGAGGAGTGTCAGCATGTAGAGTTGTTGGGGGCGGAGCTCTACAGTGACAACTACTGACAGCAGCTTATTTTTTCTGCCAGCTATGTCAGGACTCAAAGTAACAATTTCCTTAAATGTGCCTCGTGTAGATGACGTGAAACTGCCAGCTGCCTGTTGGGATGCCCGTCAGTCAAAGCAGCCTTTTTTTCTGTTTCAGCTCTCTTTAGATTTTTCAGTGAATGGATCTATACAACGATAAGACTGCTGCCATATAACTGATAATTAATCAAATCTTCCTTCTGTTTACGTTCTAATAGAGTTCTTCATTAAAACACATTTAGAAACTCGACCAAAGAAAAAGTGTCAGGAGTGCACGCTAACGTTTGTGCCTCTGCAGTATGCAGCTTTTCACATGCAATGAAAAAGCAGTTGCAACAGAAACTAATGTGAATTGTGAACTCTTTTACTTTTTGCAATCTGCAGTTTCATCAGACCACATGAGCCCGAGACCTCCGTTTCCACCCCCAGAGGATGAATTTCTTATTGCTGATTTTATGAGGGGTGCTTCATATACAAAGTATATTTATTGTCTTGTGTTTCTGTCTGTTTTGTGACTCTTATGTGTAGAATGTCGTCTCGGATCTGTCTTGTGATACAACATAAATCCACTTTACTGCACGAGGATGTAACCATTTATATACTCCTACACTCATCGCCACAATATGTTTACACGCTTTCTTGTTGCTAAAAATGATTCTGAAGGATTTCAACAGCTCAGAAAGTGTAGCAACCGTAGCAGTTTGTCTTGAAGCAACAACTGTAATCTCCACATTTTTACACATTTTTCATTTTTTACACACTTTTTTTTTTCTCAAAATAGATTTTCAACTTTAATATCAACATTTTGACTTTTATTTCTCTTCTGGTAGAGAAAGTGAGGCCTAGTACACATTGATTTGCTGCCTGTTGGGATGCTGCCAGTCAAGCAGCCAGATGTGGACGTGGACGTGGATGTGTGGATGAATGTTAAAATATACTTTCATCCACCATATAGTAGCAAGGAAGGGGAAACTATCTCTAGGGTTTGGATCTATTTTCTGCACCAAGCTGGACACACACCATTTAATGCAGTAAAGTTACTATGTAAGATTCTATTGACATTAACATTCTTTTGGAATTAGCTTCAAGTGTTCGTTAGAGCAACTGCAATTTGTAGCAACTCCTGATGGCTTCAATTTCCCTCGGGATTAATAAAGTATTCTGATTCTGATTCTGATTTAGCCTTACTACTTGCTTCTTCCATGTACATTTGACGCTGTTGCCAAGTGACTGAAGTCTGCTAAATAAAATACAGGCATATGTCTTGTAAGCTCTGAAAAGCAACAGAATGCAGTGCCTTGTTGGTGCTTTTCAAAGCACAGCACATAACACAAAGCAACATAAAAAAGTTTTTGCAAGTGACCTAAACACACTTTCCTACATTTTTTTGGTGCAGATTCTACATGTGCCTTTATTATTTTCCAGTCATGTCGAGAAAGGCATGGAGCATGATTTTATTTTGTACCATATTAGATCTGGATTGTCACAGTAAAGCATTCAGCATAGTTTCATCCCAGAAAGCCCGGTAGCAACCCTCTGTTAGCTGAATATCATATTGGAAACGTTCTCCTTTGTTACTCACCATGCACAGACTTTTCAAATGTGAATGTAGGAAATGGGTTTTCAGTGACATGCAGCAGCCCATTTTCTGTTTACTTCCCAGTATGCAGGTGATTAAGTTTTCACAGAGTCACTTGAATGCTTTTCAAGCTTAAAGCTTGGTTGCTTACAGACATAGTCAAAAACCATCGTCCTTACATACCCATGCAAAGAGCAGACCGCTTTTACCAATAAGTCTTCATTTCCTTTTGTGCTGTACGCTTTGACTTCTGGTCCAAAAATAGTGATCAACAAACACAAAATGTATAAAAAAGTTCATCAGAAGAGCTAGATGTCCTGGAGAAAAACTAAGTACAGGTTTGAAATCATTGTGACAATAACTAACAGAGAAGTACCTGTGATGATTATTACCTGCTGACCTGTGCAATGGATGAATGCTGGAAAGTTGCATTGAGCACGGAGCTGAACATTTTTACTGCCACCACACTGATATGCAGAGAATGAAACCAAGAAATACTGCAGACACATATGGTGCTAAATTTTCAGCCATAACACAGGGCCACCCGACAGTATGTCATCTTAGCCCTCCTTCTGATTCTAAAAGGACCAAAATGTACTAAATTAATTTCATGGTGTTTTACGTGACATAAAACAACCTTAAATTTATCAGAAAAGTGCACTAAGGTCTCAGGCAACACTGTAACCAAAGAAGCCATCATGTTTGGCGTCGCGCTTCAGACCTGAAAGCTAGATTTTTTTATATACATGCTATGTTTAGTGAGCAGGAGCTTCAATGGTGACTTAATGAAACCCGTGTGTCCCGTGTGGCCTGAAAAACATTTGCTCTTTCACTATGAAAGAAGAGACATGTCCTTTTGCAGATGAAAAAACTACACAAAGAAGGAGATGCAGTGTGTGTGCATTAGCAGATATTACTTGTGAATTCAAAGAGTTCCTGTTTTGTCCTGTTATGCCACTATTTGGTCCAGTACTCAGGACATAATCCAGCATAGCTAGTAACATTTTAAAATGCTGTGAGGAGCCAAAATCATCTTTCTGTCCGATGGATTCATTTATATTAAAATAATGTTGGAGAGAAGTAGTCTACTCTGAACTGCGTCAGCTGTAAACACATGGAGAAACCTGTTCCAATTTCTAGTCTTAGTGTGAAAAAGTATGCTTTGCATCTTCTGTTGACAACAGACCTGCTTTTATTAGTAACACATGTCAGGGACACATGATAGTGTGTAGAGGATGTGAGAGTCAGTAGGGAATTGCCAGGTAACCTAATGGAAAAACAATGAGGGGAACAAAAACGGTGCATATTTCCAGCTGGGGAAATATTGTCAACATCGTGGTAAAATGTAGAATCCTGGATAGTACAGACAGAATAACACTGTGTGCTCTGTCTGAGGGCAGACAGACATGAACACTGCTTTATACAGAATGTGTTCTGCAGTCTTTTCTTAAACTGATGCATTTATTTGCAGCTTTCAGACGTCTGAGATTTGTTTGGACTGCTTCATATTATTCTGTGTTATTTGTGTTATAATGTTATAATATAAGAATATGTAAAACGCTTTGGGGTCCTTAGGGATTAAGTAAAGCGCTGTACAAATACAAGCCATTTACAATTTACCATGTTATACATTACAGTGACAAAAGGATTTGTCCCCTTGCAAACTTTCAGTTTTTTGTATACTTTTCACACTTAAAGATTGAAATGAAAAAAAAAGTAATATTACAGAAAGCTAACACACATAAATGAAAATGCAGTTTTGAAATGATGATCTATTTTTTAAACATAAATTATTTTAATTTGGTCACACTGGAGCACGAACAAACAGTTTGAATGATGTCAATAGCAATTTAGTCTGGCCTTTTAGGACTAGGCTACTCTAAACCCTTCTTCTTCGTCCTTTTTGAGTGATTCAGGAGTGCACTTGCTGGTGTGTTTTGAATCACCGCCCTGCTGAATAACTCGAGTGCGCCCTGAGTTTAAGGACGTGAACTGAAAGCTGGACATTTTCCTTCAGGATTTTCGGATTGAGAGCAAATTTCATGGTTCCATAAATGATGGCAAGTCATCCTGAAACAGTGAAGCAGCTCCAGACTATGACAGTGTCAGCACCGTGCATGGATGAACTGCTGACGGTTCTTTTTATAACTTTTGCCTCATCAGTCTACATGATATTTTCCCCAAATCTTGGAGATCAGCAAGATATTTTTGGCAAATGTAAGATGAGCCTTGTCAAAGGAGCTTGCAAAGAAAAGCGTCTGGACTTCTTTAAGTTGCTTGAAGACGTTTCACCTCTCATCCGAGAAGCTTCTTCAGTTCTAAGGTCAAATGGTGGAGAGTCCCAGATATAAACCTAGTGGGAGTTTCCCCCCACAGAGGGACAAAAGGACCCCTGATGATCCTCTAATCGCCTGAGCCAAGGTGTGAAACTGGGTGTGGGTCACAATCAGCCAGGGTTTCTGGTGAGCTCATTGTGAAACCTGGCCCCACCTTATCATGCGAATTCCTGAGGTCAGATGGCCCAGGATGTGAGTGGGCGTTAAGGCGTCTGGGGAGGGATCTCAAAACTGGATTATAGATGGCAGAGAGTTGGTGTCGTAAACCCCCGCCTCTGTTCAAAGATGGTCGTTCACAGTGGACATAGATGCTTCTTTCACTCCTCTTTCAAACCATCTGTCCTCTCTGTCCAAAATGTGAACATTGGCATCCTCGAAAGAGTGACCTTTGACCTTAAGATGCAGATGGACTGCTGAGTCTTGTCCTGTGGAGGTGGCTCTTCTGTGTTGTGCCATGCGCTTGTGAAGTGGCTGTTTGGTCTCTCCAATGTAGAGGTCTGAGCATTCCTCGCTGCACTGTACAGCATACACCACATTGTTAAGTTTGTGTTTTGGAGTTTTGTCTTTCGGGTGAACCAGTTTCTGTCTGAGCGTGTTGCTGGGTCTGAAATACACCGGGATGTCATGCTTGGAGAAAACCCTCCTGAGTTTCTCTGATACAAGACAATGTTGTTGCGTCTGTCCTTCTTATCCTCCCTCGCTGGTGTCTGATCTTCTTTTCTGTGCCAAAAGAAGTCCAGACGCTTTTCTTTGCAAGCTCCTTTGACTACGATGACCTGGATGACTGAGAACCTTCACAGACATAAGATGAGCCTTGTTGTTCTTTTTGGTGAGCAGTGGTTTTCCCTTGGAGCTCTCTGTGGCTCTATGGATGCCATTTTTGTCAAGTCTCTTTCTTATTGTTGATTCATGAACACCTTCAATGCGACCCTTTCCAGAATGATAGAAGTCAGTTATTTTGTTTCAGATTTGTTTCTTTAGATCATGATGTGATTGCAATTTAAAAAAT